TTTTTTTTTTTTTTGGTTTTTTTTTTTTTTTTTTTTTTTTTAATTCATTGTCACTGTTCAGTTTGCCTAGAATTTGCTCATTTTTCAAAAAATACAATTCGAGGTGCTGTACTGTTGTGAGTCCGTCTTACTCCATAGTAGGGCTCTTCGTTTTTGCGCTCTCTCGAAGTAGAACATACTTTGAGTATGAAGATAACAAATGCGTTTATTTTTCGGATTTTTGCTTCTTTGACTTCGGATGAAAGCGACTCCTTTCATGTCAGGAAATGGAGATTTTGGGCTATGGCTAGAGTAGGGCAAAACTGTGCCGGAGCGTTTAAGCAAGCATTTACCGGAGCTACGTGTCCGTGCGATGCAGAAGACAAGCTGTACTTTGTTTTTCTGACAAGAAAAAGGGTGGGCTATACCTTGCAGGATCCGTTGTACAACCGGTGAATCTGCGTCGGATCCGTCTTTTTTCAGCAGCTATGAAAAAAATGGAGATGAGTTATAAAAATTATTTTTTCCTTATAAAAACCAAATATTGAAACGAATTGCGTTAGGATTGCCAGCAGATTCACCGGTTAAAACAATTGGAATAGTTGCAAGTAGCATAGCTAGAGAAAACCGCCAACTGCAGCTGATCAACAAAGCATCATTTTTAGAAGAGGACAAGTGAAAGCCATTGGGATCGAAATGAATGAAGATTTTTGTGCGTTGCAGAGGAGAGCGATCCAAGCGAACGGGATGGAGGCGAATATATCGGTAGGCACTGCTCAGTACAACAGTTCAGCGCCATTGCACTGCCTTTCCCAACTCTCAGCCGGCTTTTGTATTGTGGATTTTCCAACTTCCGCCTTCGGTCTCAGCCAAATGGTTTTGGGTTTGCCCGTATTTTTCAAATTTTCCATCTCTCTGTTGTGAATTTCTCCATCTGCCACTCATGACTGGCATTTTTTGGTCAACCGACCTCGGCCAACAACTGCAGTAAAGAGGAATAATTTAGTGAAATGCTTCCTGCATATTTTGTACTCATTTGTCTTATCGTTTCGGCAACAAATAATTGCGTATAAAACTGAAAGTAATCCGCCTCCCGTTGGCAGATTTTCCATACGAAGTTTGGCGCCACATGCTTCCGGTGTAACTGTAGAGTTGTTGTTGCTTCCACAG